ACAGAGCATGTGCTGCTTCTGAACTCAAAATGGCAACAGCAGCTCTGGCCTTGGCTTCAGAGCCAGGGCCTTGTCTGCAGCTGCCACCGCAACTACAGTGTGGCCAATCTGGGGCTGGAGGCAGTATGTTCTCTATAGGGTGGCAGTCATAGAGGACATTCCAGTTTTCTGCTACTCTGTCCTCTATTGATATGAAACCAGACACCTTTGTGTCCTCTATTTTTCTCTTCAAGACAAAGTTCTCTTGTATCAACAAAACAGAGGACAACTGGACTGTCCTCTATGATGCCCACCCTAGTTCTCTGCACTCCTTTTTCCAGACTGGAGTAGAGCCCCAGCCTGAGCTGGAGCTGTAAGGGGAAGGTAAGTGATGGCGGGGGCATAGAAAGCAGAAAAAATTGGGGGGGAGGGGGAGGCAGGTGGGAGTGGGGGAGAGTGGTGGGAGGGGACAGGTGCCAGAGGGATGCAGGCACTGTGGGGAGGCACAGGTGTCAGGGTGCAGGCATGAGGAGCAGGTGGAAAGGGGAGGGGAAGAATCAAGGGAGCAGGTACCAGGTGGGGCAAGTGGGAGGGGTGCAAGTAGGGGGAGCAGGTGGCAGGAGAGGCAAGTGGCAGGGGACACCATGGGGTCAGGCATGGGGGGGAGGAGGAGAAACAACCCGGAGGACAAGTGGTGGCGGGGACAGGCAGCAATGGTCAGGGTTCAGGCCGTTTGACTTCCCTGCCACCTGCCCCATCACCACCTGCACCCTGCCTCTGCTTTCCCCACTACAGCAGTGAGGGGAATGAATTTAATACAGCCTTCCATTAATTTGATTTTAGACATGGAAAATTATAGCAAATTTATACATTTTCCATGTCTAGCATCTAATTAATGTGGGGTCATCTTTAAATTTAGACTTGTCTTGGATTCAGGTAAGTATATTAATACCCTAACTTCTGAGTAGTCTTTGCTTGGTTGAGTGCAGTTTTTACTGCCTATTAAAGGGAAGAAAAATCTTGCAGATTTCTCAGTATTATCAGTTTTTTAAAGAGAGGCAAAGATTGTTTTTTTATTAGACAAACTGTATAGTAGGGATAAAGTTAGACAAGGTTTTGAATGCAAATGATTGAAATGAATGCAAATTCCAAAGCTTGTCTAACTTTATCCCAACTATATAGTTGATATAATAAAAGATGTTACCCAAAAAAATCTTTGCCTCCTGCATAATTCCTGGACTATCACAGCTATGGCATTC